ACTGTCCAACACATTATAGATCATAAACGGGATAAAGTTCTTATTCTTACAGCTTTTTTTATAACTGAAAATAAATCCGTAAATATAATTATCCTATCACATTATGTTTTTGAGAAAATTGAATCTAAAAGTGCCGAAAATGGCATTTTTGGATACCTTTGAGCTAAAGTATCTCAAAAGCATGACATGATAAAGCAATTTCATTTACGGATTCATTTACAGCGATAAAAAATTATAAAAGCCACCTATTGTATTGGCTGATTTCGTTCTTCATCTAATTCCAAGAAAATTAAATAAAGGAGTTTATCAAGAATTGCAATGCTACGGTATACTTAAATAATAAATTTCTTCGATAAGAATTTTGTGTAAGGTTTTAATAAAGAATTTGTTCTTAACACCATATTCGCAAAATTATTCTATATATTCCAGCAAAGTGTGTTCCAAATCACGATAGTTTACTTATCTAATATCTTTGTCGCGCTAACGTGTGTGATATGACGCGGAAGTGAATCTTCATTAATGCTTAGTCGAGGGTCCATTAATTTGATCTTATCTCTGCGCTCGTGCCTTTTACTCTTATTTTTAAGGTGGTCGCATTTAAAAACCTTGAACTCATTAAGGCATGAAGCACATCTCGAAGAGACCACTCACAAATTTGAGCATCTTTTCAAACTCCTTTTTCAAATATTAAATTATTTCTATTATCAAAAATAATATACAAAAAATTGATTTAGCTGAAATAAATTGACAAAAATATTGTATATAATTGGTACTATAAGGAGTATCGCCTTTTTTTGCTTATTATTTCCGCTTAGTTTTATTTTCTTTTTACGCGAGATCTTTATGCAGCAGTGTATCAGGAAAAGCCGATCGATTCTTGCTAATATGTAAGATAAGCATCAATCATCTTCGACTTTCATAGTGTCATTACTCTAAAAAGTGAATGATTTTTTCGCGTAAGAGCGGAGATGGTGGGGACGATGGCGATGACGGTGTTGACTATGATGATGATGACAATGGAGATTTTCGATCGGCTTACTTTGAAAATCCGATCACCGACTGTGTGTCACTAGGTCGACACACGGAGATAAAGTACGTATATAGTGCATGCGTCCTGCGCAAGTCATATTGCAAGTCGCGGGGGAAGTCTGTAGGACAGTGACGAAAGACGAAGAGAGATTTCGAGAAGCCGAAGAGAGTAGTATCAAAGCGAGTCGAGAGAGCGAGAGAAGAGAGAAAGAGGAAAGAGTGAGAGAAAGATTGATATCGGATACGAGGAAATGGACAAAGGGAAAATGAGGATAGAACGGAGTACGTGAAAAAGGAAATGCAAGCAAGAAGGATGGAGGATCTGTGAAAATGAGAGCGTAGGAGAGGGAGAATTTGCGAGCGCAAGAGAAAAGGGAGAGAAGAGAAGTTGTATTGTGATAGAGAGATAGAGAAGAAATCACTCGTTGACAGGAACGAAGGGGATAATTTTCGAAGTGAACAAGAAAGAGAAAGAGAGGGAGATAGAAAGAGAGGGAGGACGCGTTCACGATGAGGAAGTGAAAGAGGGGGAGAGAAAGAGAGAGAGGGTCTAAAGAGAATGATCGACAGTGGATCCGCGTTAGTTACAGAGGGATGAAAGGCAGCCTCCGCGGAGCTTGTGGTGCACAAGAATACCTCGCGCTTACATTTCTATTCAACGACGTGGACGAGAACATCAACGTGGAGTGATACTGCGCGACGATCGATGACGTGTTCATGACAGAGCGCGTTCGGATTCGCGAGTTTGAGTGATCCACGAATTCGATCGTGGAGCGAGAGGCGATAAGCCGGATGAATCCTGTGAATAGTGGATTTTATAAATGATAATAATAATCGGTCGAGTTTCGGGAGATTTCACGATCTTGCGCTTCGATCGATTTTAAGCTATGACGATGTACCGAAGTACGTACGAGCGACATAACTCTGTTTAACGATGCAATAATAGGTTTAACAATTTTTTATCTCTCTCCATTGGACCGATGATGAAATCATAGCACGTGTCGTCATTCTCCTCGGATGCAGCAGGTAATCATCTATGCATGTAATACAAACCTATAAGTAGCAAAAAAGTATATTTATCAAATTATAGAGAATTAATATACACATTTACAGAAATACATTTATGCAACTATAAACCTGAATGAACTTATTTGAAAATGAAGAAAATCGTTTGTAATTTCAATTTCACTTGATAAATATTGCAACAAATCTCTGCAAAAACTTATATAGGATAAAGTATATATAGCGATTGACCATTTGCTATAAATTTGCTTACATACCTATTATAAAATCCAAATCAAATTAACAGCTAATTTCACAACATAGTAATAACTGATCTTTACTAACTTCATATATGAATAAAGTATTCAATTTACAGTGTGTCCATTTTTTACGAGGTAGACTTATTTATATAAGATCCGGGCAGATGAAAATTTGTAAATGTTAATGAATATCTTTTTAAAAATTAAATACCGATGAGAAGATGCCGTAACGGTCAAGCTGGATCTTGGATGCTTCTAATTTATAATTTCGGCGCGTATTTAAGAATCTACATACGTAGTATATAAATTTACACGAAATTATAAATTAGAAGTATTCAGCTTGACCGTTACGGCATGTTCTCATCGGTATTTAATTTTTGTGTATTTAGTTTAAACTCTCACGGTCCAATAAGATTTGATATTGTTCTTTTAAAAAATTTGTAATATTTCATTAAATTTATCTCCTTTTCATTTTCTGAATTTTTTTTTCTTCATTTTGATGGTTTTCATACTAATGGTCAATCACTGTCATCAATAACTATCATTTTCTGAATAAAAGTTTCTACTGTTGGAAAAAATGAAAATCATGATTTTATACAAAGTTTTTTGTATTTGAACATATTCTTTAAATCTTACTTAATGTTCGCTTTGTATCAAATTCAAATTTCAAATAATTTTAGTAATGATTACAGTGATTGTATTAAATTTCAGCGCATCTGTACACTTAACCCTATAAAGATTGTTACATAAATTTTTAATTAAATTAAAAAATTGATATTTATTAAACGAAAAGATGGTCTGTTGAGAATAGATTCTGTAAAGTGTTTACTATAAATGTTGTTGGCAGAAAGTATACGGATTTTGGATACAGGATCCGACTCAAGATATGCAATACTACTGTTGCTAGAATACTGACAAAATATAGTAAAAAATATAGCTTTGTCAACAAGATATAAGGGCTAAAATCAAATAGACTTCGATATATTTGCTACATAGTTTGACGTAGATCGGCAGCAGAAATAGAGCAGAATCTGCATTCGACAGATGTTGCTCGGTTTCTGTCGCCAATTTGCTCTTATATCATGTTATATCACCAGGCTTTGTCAGCAGAAAATATGATTTTACAATAATACGAACATAGTTTATGTCAATTTGCTAGCAATTTCTGAATGAATTTCCTGCCAATTTCTACTGGCATTTACGGATAATTAAACTCTAGCATGTATCATGCGTTTCATTCCTATCGATTCGTGATTCAATACCATTTGTACGATTCTATTGTTTATTTAATTTTTATATACAGTATAATTCTAATAAAATAAATTTAATAAACTATTAACTAATAAAATAATTACAAGAAAAATAATATTTTACGTGATATTAAAAATTTCTTTTCAAATCCTTGCATAGAATATCACATTTATGAAATATTTCCTGTCGTCAATTTAAAACTCGAGACTTAATAAAGTCAACCTCAGGCTGGGAAAAAGTCGTTCCTTCATTATTTACGGATAGTATAGAGTTTCATTACTAATAAGTTATTCTTCATCTTCATTGTCCTGGAAAACAGCTTTATCAAAAGTACGTAATATTGTCGGATATATTTTACGCGCTCCTTTTATTGTTTAATGTAAATGTCATGTCATAGAGGTGAAAGTGTGGCTTCGTAATGTACGTGCGCAATCTTTGAATAGGAAGTGAATAAAGCACGAGGTTGAAGCACACAGGCAATATGTAGAGCGTGTTATACGAGATTTTATTTCGTTCTTATTTTACTATAGATATCGTATGTATAATGCTTTATATCGCATCAATCCACTTTTCGTTATGATCTACTCTTTAATCGGATCAATCGGGCGTGATAATGGAGTTACATTTAGTTTTTAATCACTTAATTTACTGTAGTCAGAAATTAAAAAAAAAAAGTGCTTTTATGATTATTTGAGATGGTCTGAGAACACAAATAGAAACGTTCTTCATAACTCTTTCGATTAACGATATTACACGATAAAATTAGCAATATTATAAAAATATTAACGTAAATAATTATTACAGTTAAAGACGCAATGATTTTTATTATTTTTTCTGAGAACGATAATACATCATGTAATCGTTATAATGATAAAATGTAAGCCAGTACAGTGTAATATTTAGAAACAATTGTTTTTTTTTTGTCAAAAAATAGAAATCTCTCAAATCAGTCCATATAAATGTATATTTTTTTTAATTGAAATGGAATTTAATTAAGTTTGCTCTCTGCATATACGTAGGATTTTTAGGATAGTTAGTAGGATGAGCCTTCCTGATTTTCTTCTTTATTATCTGCTGGATTAACCGCCTTCCCTTCCCAAGAAAATAAACAACTTATTGTGGACGCGGAGACTGTTAGCACAAGATTTCCGCGTGTGTCCCGTTTGCGTAGAATACACTGCGTGTAAGAATACGCATGAAAGCTGTGTACAGGCTCAAGGAGTGATAAGCAGACAGAAAGCGTGTGGGAAAGGTTGACGGATGTTCTTCCCTTCGACTATGATTACAGAACGGTGACGGTGGCGGCAACGAGCCGGTTACGGGGGTGCTGAGAGGATGCGAGGATACCGCGAGATGACGTCCTCTATCGCGTTCGTTATTCACTGACGCGACCCCGGCTGGATAACGAAGACGATTGGCAGGATGCTGCCGCGCGTACTACTGCTAATCGTCCTCTTCTTTGTGCAGCTGCGTCATCGTGTCATCTGGTGAGTATCATCATTTGCATCTTGACCTTACGGAAAATCATGGGGAATAACAAAATTTGATGTTTTCTCATCGTGTTTCACTTATATAACATACACGTGACACACAAAGAGTACAAGTTTCGATTTTGATAGATAGGGAAAACTTTTTAAACACGTGGCATAAGTTTATGCCTTTAAATTAAAGAATACGATGCAAAACATAAAATTTTATATTAATAATATATACACATATAAGTCTAATTTTTTAAATATACAGATATTATTTAAAAAATTAATTTATTTTTTTCTTCCGCGAATCTTCATGTAAAGCATTGTAATGTATTTTAATAAAATTCCAATTGGAAGTTCTATGTCTTATATTATCAAAAAGAGCGGTTTAATCAGCATGGTACAACTGAAATCTTTATGGATATTACACTAAGAAACAATTTTCAACTCATTCGTTCGATGAACTTTAAACTAACTTTAAACTGTTCTCAAAATCGGTCAATACAATGACTGAATAACTTACAGTCTTACAGCGTGAATGTAAAATTTAAAATGTAATTTGAATATTTTAATAATAAATTATTAAAATATTACGACTCTCAATTATTACACACACGTATAACTGTAGTAAAGAAAAAATATATACATAGAAAAAAAATAAAATAGAAAAGGAAATTAGATTCAAAAAGGGAAATAATTAGATACTTGAATTAAACTTGACGTGCGACATATGCGATTGTTCGGGCAATCAGCACTCCAATCAGTCCGCTGTACACGAGGAGAAACAACAAAGCTTCATTTTCCGGGCAAAAGACAAACCTGATAATTTTTTCCGAACAACGCTGCATGTAAATCGAAGTAATCTTCTCAAATTTATTAATTTTTCCTCAAAGTGAAAAATATTATGATCGCAAGTACAATGATCGCTATGGACCAGATCAGATCGACAGTGCCCGAATTGGTTAACGGAAGTAACTTCCCGAGACGTTCCATTATTTCCATCTTATCTATGGATTTCTTCGACGTTTATGTGTATTAATTTAGATATTTTATTTAATTCTTGATTGTACGTATTTCTTGCGCCATTGAATATTACATGTATATCTACACATATGATATTTATTTGCAGTTTATATAAAAATGTAATTTACTACTATAAAGTATTAGACAAACCTTGAAATGATTCATTTTTGTGTCAGGAACAAACGTACGTACATACGTCTTGGATTTTGATCACCATCATGTTTAAAATAAATGAATGTTGAAAATGTGAATGTTCAAAGCATGGTGGAACATAGCATGATTCGGAGCATACTTCAAAATGTGAAACTTTTGTTTAAAAAATTGGTATCTAATGGAACAGTATAATTTTCAGAAGGCGCTTTTATCGATAAATTTCTAAAATTCTGAAATATGTAACGTAAACTATATGCTAATTGTGCACTAATAATATTATAAGCGTATATTTAGAATATATAGTTTTAACTACAGGTCTAACTCTTGGCTTAATATAATAATAATTATTATTATTATTAATGCACGTATTTAATATTTGTGTATATTCTATAATTAGAATATTTATGTAATTAAATACTCTCTATTTATAAGAGACTTCCAAAATATTCCATAGTCGTTTTGACATTCGTTTGATAAATTTAACAATGTACTCATTAATAAAGATATTTTAACGATTTTAAGTTCTATTGAGTTTTCGGAATTTTGTACTTCACAGTGCTTCTCTAGAGAGCATCGAGATGTCCGATAGATTGGAGAACGTTACGCAGACAATTTCGAGGATACTCGACGGCTACGATATTCGATTAAGGCCGAACTTTGGCGGTAAGCTTTGGATCGATCTTTTACATTTTATTAAATATTATCCGCAAATTAAGCTTTTTTATTAGTTCACACACATAATAATGTATATGATATACATTATTTAATTTTAACAAAAATCATTTTGTGTATTCAGTATATTAAGAAAAAAAAAACAATAAAATAATAAAAAGTAAACGATACGATTAATATTGCACATTTTTACATAATTAAAACTATTTTAAATAATCTACATTTATATGTATAATTATGTATTATACATTACCTATATATAATTAATAAATTATTATAATTATATTAATAAATATTATTCATAATATAGTTACAACACTAATCGTAAAAAAAATCCTATTGAAATGCAGGACATAATAAAGCTATTGCTAATATTCGGGTTTCAGACCATATTTAATAGAGTTAAATTTTAAAATAGAGCTCGGAAGCAGGATGATATGGAAAGCTTTTTAATGAAGTTTTCCACGCCATTCAACTAGACATGATCGCAATCAGCAGTTTTAATCGAACGTGCAACGAGGGGAAATAATTTGCTGATATTATCAACGGATTAGACTAAGATTTTAAGCTATATTTCTTTTCCTGACTGTTTCACATACATATCGCAAAAAACAGAGAAATTAAATTGCGCACTCTCTCTCTCTTTCTTTAGTTATTTAACGTATCTACAAAATTAAGATACAGATAATTTTTAAAGGCGATCCATTACGAGTCGGGATGGATCTTACCATTGCAAGTTTCGATGCGATTTCAGAAGTCAATATGGTGAGTAATTAAAGTAAAAAAAATTTATAAATAAAAAGAGAGAGAGAAAGAGAAGGATATTTTCGATGTGATAATTTTTAATCCTCCTACTTTTCTGATAAATTTAATACAATTAATTAAATTTAATTTTCTAATCGTATAAAGTTAATATTTCATCAAGTTTTTAAAAGAGTATTTTAAAATATTATCTTATATTTTTCATTTATTACTACTATTTGTTCTAATCTCGTATCTAATATATTATATATATATATATA